GTAAAATACATGAAAAAAGTTTTTATAAAGTCTACTACCTTCACAAACAATGACAATCTTCCTAATCAATAATGTAATAAAAAGTTCAATGTATAATATAACCACCACTATCATCACCACCATTATAGCCATCATGATCATTAGCAACATCTTGTAACAAGATAATTATGGTAGCTAGATTCAAATGTGTTAAAATTATGGGTACATTTTATAAGTATTTATATTTTTAATTACATTAAAAATAATTGAATACATAGCTAAATATTTAATCCATCTCAAGTGTTTTAATACCCTAAAGCATCTTAGCACTCCATAGAGAGCAGATTGAAGAGAACTGCATCTAGGTTTGCTATCACAAACTTACTATTTGATCTAAGACAGCATTAATTAAAAAACCACCTCACAATCAAAAATATAAAACCTAAGAAAGCTCACTTAGGCAAAGGTAGAAGGTAGCTACCTGTCCATCATGTAAGCAAATCTGTTCCATTGGGTGAACTAAATAAAATTTCTAATACTGACCATTTTGATTATATTAAATGAGGATCATATGGGTTAAATTAACATTTTTCACTTTATTTGATATTCTCTTTGCTTATAAAAACATCAAGAAGTTGTAAGAATATCAAACTGCATAAGTGAAAAAATACTATAGCCACAATAAGATGTATCACTAGAACTACTTAGAATCATGTTAAGGAATTGAAACTTCTCAGCATAGTGTTGCATACTTGTCATCTCAGCACTTGGGGGACTAAAGCAGGAGAATCAAGAGTTCAAGGCTAGCCTGAACTACATTGAGGATAGCCCAAGCTACACAGTGAGAGGTTGTTTTGTTAAAAAGGAAAGAAATAAACATGTAAATCCTTTAATTTATGTAAGAAATTCTATTTATCTAATAGTAGTAATAGTTCAACACACAAAGTATGTGTAATACACCACCTTAATTCTGAGGTGGCAGGTGAATGGGCTGACAGTCACCTACCTCCTTAATGGGCTTCACCACTTCATGCTTGAAATTAAAAATCAGATCCTGTTGTTGTCACTCAAATTTCTTAACGTAGAAATGCTTTACAATACAGGTCTTGCTATGTTCCCAAAAGTAAATAATTCTCCTCTCACTACAAAGTGCGCTCAGTTATGTATGGTGACAGAGCAGGTGCTGTGTATGGTGACAGAGCAGGTGTGCTCACTGTGTATGGTGACAGAGCAGGTGTTGTGTATGGTGACAGAGCAGGTGTTGTGTATGGTGACAGAGCAGGTGTGCTCATTGTGTATGGTGACAGAGCAGGCGCGCTCAGCTGTGTATGGTGACAGACAGGTGCTGTGTATGGTAACAGAGCAGGTGTGCTCACTGTGCATGGTGACAGAGCAGGTGTGCTCACTGTGTATGGTGACAGAGCAGGCGCGCTCAGCTGTGTATGGTGACAGGCAGGTGCTGTGTATGGTGACAGAGCAGGTGTGCTCACTGTGTATGGTGACAGAGCAGGTGCGCTCACTGTGTATGGTGACAGAGCAGGCGCGCTCAGCTGTGTATGGTGACAGAGCAGGTGTGCTCACTGTGTATGGTGACAGAGCAGGTGTGCTCACTGTGTATGGTGACAGAGCAGGTGTGCTCACTGTGTATGGTGACAGAGCAGGTGCGCTCACCGTGTATGGTGACAGAGCAGGCGCGCTCAGCTGTGTATGGTGACAGAGCAGGTGTGCTCACTGTGTATGGTGACAGAGCAGGTGTGCTCACTGTGTATGGTGACAGAGCAGGCGCGCTCAGCTGTGTATGGTGACAGAGCAGGTGCTGTGTATGGTAACAGAGCAGGTGTGCTCACTGTGTATGGTGACAGAGCAGGCGCGCTCAGCTGTTTATGGTGACAGAGCAGGTGTGCTCACTGTGTATGGTGACAGAGCAGGTGTGCTCACTGTGTATGGTGACAGAGCAGGTGTGCTCACTGTGTATGGTGACAGAGCAGGCGCGCTCAGCTGTTTATGGTGACAGAGCAGGTGTGCTCACTGTGTATGGTGACAGAGCAGGTGTGCTCACTGTGTATGGTGACAGAGCAGGTGTGCTCACTGTGTATGGTGACAGAGCAGGCGCGCTCAGCTGTTTATGGTGACAGAGCAGGTGTGCTCACTGTGTATGGTGACAGAGCAGGTGTGCTCACTGTGTATGGTGACAGAGCAGGTGTGCTCACTGTGTATGGTGACAGAGCAGGCGCGCTCAGCTGTTTATGGTGACAGAGCAGGTGTGCTCACTGTGTATGGTGACAGAGCAGGTGTGCTCACTGTGTATGGTGACAGAGCAGGTGTGCTCACTGTGTATGGTGACAGAGCAGGCGCGCTCAGCTGTTTATGGTGACAGAGCAGGTGTGCTCACTGTGTATGGTGACAGAGCAGGTGTGCTCACTGTGTATGGTGACAGAGCAGGTGTGCTCACTGTGTATGGTGACAGAGCAGGCGCACTCAGCTGTGTATGGTGACAGAGCAGGTGCTGTGTATGGTAACAGAACAGGCCGATCTAGACCTATGGATCTGATGCTCTTGCTCTCCCCTCTGGTCTTCTCTGACTCAAGTATCAACAACTCTCTTTATTTTGCAAAACAGTGAACATAAACTGTGAGGATTCTTCTAAGAATGAGATTCTCATACAATACACAATTCACTGTTCAGACACTGAATTAAAACAAATTCTATCCTTTGACAGCTAATTCAGTTCCTCTTGAAGTTTCCTCAGAATCCATCACACATATCGCATAAATTAGGCTGCTTGCAGACAGAAAAAAGTCTTCTGCCATACAAACAGGTAAAGCCTTGTCCCATCCTTAATGTCGGTTCTAATAGCAGAGGGTCACTCAGTTACAACCCATAGGGCTGTCACTCACTTGTTTATTACTGTACACTATTAAATGGACACAAGAAAATGTAAAGCATCAGGCTGTGAGAGCTGTAGATTAACTTTGCAAAATCATATACTCTATCAAAAATAAAATCAACTCATTATCAGAATGTGGCATTTTTAGAATGATGAAGCATTTAGTGCTAGATGATTTTTTTCTAGAATCCATAAGAACAGCAATCTTAAAAAGCTTCAAACATTGCCAGGTCATGTCTTAACTGGCAAAAACAATTCTTTTCCATCTAAATTCATTTCATGCTACTACATGAGTCAAAATTAAACACCTTGCAGTTACTGAAAACTGAGTACTGTCTGAGGTGGGCACCACAATTATAAAATGTGAAAATGTGTGTGCCCAGTTTGCACATGCTTCTCTTTTTTCTAGTTATGACTAGAAGTGGGGGTGACCTTCCTAGGTAAACAAAAATACTAGTGCCTTAATAACTAGAAGATAATCATAAACATGCCCTTAGTGCTAGTGTTATGGATCCATAATCAAAGCTTTTTCAAAAGAAAAATAAAAAAGTATGAAGCCAAATATCTATTCCAAGTATCCTATTAGTCAAACAATTTGCTATTAACTATTTAAAAATTTATTAAAATGTTAATGTGCTTTGATTGAAACAGAATTATATTGTTTAAGCAAGTCAATTACAGCACCTTTCCCCACACTCAGTTAAGAATATATAACTTCCTCTCATTTTAACTGAGAGTAAACTGAATTAAACAGGTCTCACTGGCATTGTTTTTACTGACAAAGGCAGTTTCTGTTTAAAAATTAAGAAACAATATTTTTTAAAAGCTAAATTCAGATGCCATCTGGTCCAGCAATGAAGGAGTTAACATCCAACTGCACTGAACCGAGCTTCTGATCCATTACATTTCTCACAAGCTGCCCCACAATGAGCTGAGCAAGTATCAACTGTAATTTGATCCAGGAGTTTATGGGGAAAAAAATAACTGCACATACTCAACATGCACATTTAATAAAAATCTGTTTTAAGAGAAACATATCCAATAAACACAATTTAAGGCGTATTTAATTGTTTGATTAACTTCAAACCTGTAATCCCTTTGCTTTCCTGACGCTCTCAAATAAAATAGGAGAAAGGAGGGAAGAAGAAAAAAACCCGCTCCACTGCAGGGAAAAGAGGCTTGAAAAACAACTTTGATTGGCACTTGGCCTGACCCACAGAGGAAGAAAAACAGTTTTTGGACAAAGAGCGCAAATATTTGAGCTTGCTTATTTATGTGCTTGCTCGCTTGTTTTTCTTAATACATAAAGAACAATCCTAAAGTGACTTTAGACAGGGAAACTGACGAAAACGGCACTGTATTCATTTTAGCTCTCAGATATGCACAGCTCAGCAATTTTAATTCATTGGTGCTGGACAAACCGAGCCACCTCACCTAATGATCTCACTTCATGCAATGTAAAAATAGAGTGTGGAGGAGAAAAGGGTTATATTATTCAAGGAGGCTGCTTAGATCTGTTAAAAACTCTTCTGCGCCTACAGGGACATTTTGTCATCCTTTCTCTCCCTGCATCCCCATCCCCCACGGAGCGATTAAGCCAAGTAAGCTAAACAATACTGGAGAAAACTTTCTATCAGTCAGCCTGGAAAGCAGTAAGCCGATTCTGGGTCGGATTTTCTGGATCCACACCGCGGTGGGGGATGTTACGGAGGGCGACACCACGACTACTTCAGCCTCCACCTCCACCAACCCCAGCAGAAGGCACTGGAAGATCCAACAGCGTTTCCCAAGGGCATAAAGTTCCAGATGCCGACACGGGGCCTTTCGGGACCCACCAAGAAAATACCAAGAGTGGGTGCCGGGGCACGGTTGGCCTGGCAGCAGCGAGCCAGTCAAAGAAATACCCCCAGAGACAGCCTCGGCGGAGAGGCTCCTGCAGACCACAGGCTGCAGTGATTTCAGGCCAGCCTCCATCCCTAGCCGAGCCGGTCCCTCCCAGCATCCCTTCAGCCTCGGGGCAGGCCGGGCGCGGGGACCCCGCGGGGGGACCCTTCGCGTCTCGCCCCCCTGGAGCTCCGGCCGGACCCCGGCCCCGGGGAGCGCCCCACCGCCGCCGGACGCGGCCGCGCCGTACCTTCCGCAGCACTTTCCGGCAGTTGGTGCAGAGCAGGTAGTTGGCCGAGGCCGACGCGCTGCCGCCACCGCGGTTCATCGCGCCGACGCCGGGCTGTCACCGCGGCTGCTAGCGGAGGGCCGCCTCAACGTCCTCTCCTCAGGGGGTCGGGCGGTGGCTACGGCGCAGCGGCTGCCCGCTCGAGCTCGGCGGGGACTGCGGCCGCGGCGCTCACCGGCCCGTTGTTCCTCCCGCCCCCATCGCCAGACCCCCGCCCCGCCGGCCAGGACGAGCAGCCGCGGCCGTCTCAGCGCCTCAGTGCAACCCCGCCCCCGCGGCCCGCCGCCTTCAGGGCTGCCGCGCCGGGAGCCGCCCCCTCCCGCCAATCAGACCGCGCCGGCCACGCCCCCTCCCGCACCCGCCGCCAATGAGTGGCGTCGGCCAATCGCGGAAGGCGAGAGCACCTCGAATCTCCGGGCAAGTTAAGTTTATCTCCGAGGCTCGGCGCTGAAGGGTGACCGCGGGTTAGTTAGGCAGCGGGGTGGGAGGGGCTCCAGCCCGCCAATGAGAAGCGGAGGGTGTGGTGTATGCAAATGATCCGGGACTCTAGCGCCGCCCTCAGGACAAGCCACTCCCCTCCACCCCCCACCCCCAGCGAGGTCGGGGCAGAAGGGAGTGAGATTAAATAGCTGGAAGCTAGAGCTCGCTAGAGGATCTGAGACCGAGCTAAACGTTTCCTGCTCTCTCGGTGGTGGACTGGAACGCTAGCTAGAACGTCCCTTCCTCCGGGGCAGTGGTTTGGCTTTCTCTCGGTCGAAATCTAAGAATAGCTGTGAGGAAGACTGCGGTCTTGCACCACTTTGCACCCAGAGATCTCAAAGAACTTCATGCTTCACTCTGAGTCTTGTGCGAAAGACCATCCAGCTACCTGAGGCTGCAGGGATAGAGGTTTGAGTTCTCTACAGCTAAGGGATGTGGGGACCGAGAGACACATCTTTGGTTTAGAGGGTTTTCCCTCTCTCCTGACGATTATTCTCACAGCAAAGAAAGTTCTTCTATCTATCATGAACAGGTCAGAGGTACACACACACACACACACACACTAAAATTCTGTCCGAGGCAGCTAGTTAAAGACGTGCAGACAACAATCCGTGCTTGGGAAGGTAGGTTCTGAGTACAAATTGCCATTTCAAACGACTGGACCTTCGTCTCCCAACGCTGACAACGATGGCCAGGGTTTAGCTTTTATGTTCTGGAGACAGAAGACAGCAGTCACTGCAGAAAGCTCTGCTGGCCGGATGCCCAACCCAGGCGAGTCAGGGAGCAGGTACCCCGAGGAACCAACCACGCAAGGAGGATTGCAGACCAGACTCCGGCAGCCTGCTCCCCAGTGAGAACAAAGACCGTGCAGAGCGAGCACCTGATTGGTGCTGGTGCTCACCGATGTTGCCGGGCCCGTGACAGGGTGCCTCTGCCACTGGCGCAGAGCACTAGGCGCCCAGGAACTGCAGTTCTCCAACCGGCCTTGGCGGTGACCACACCGCACTGCGTGCTATGACATCACCTGTTTTCGCTCTTGGAACCTAATCTGTATTCTCGGCTTCTCCTTTTCTGAAGGTCTCGAGTGTGGCAGGATTTGTGAAGGCCTGCAGTTCACAGAAAGTGTCTGTGGAGATGACTAAAAAGAACTGACCCATGGTTTACGTTTCTTATATTATTTAACACACTACCCTGCGTTTGGGATTTAACGTAGTATGATGCAAAATCCGGAAGGCGCACTTGGAGGAGCTCGCACGTTTAGCATAACAAAGCCATTAGACCAAACTGCTGTTCAAACTGCCAATCTCTTCCATACTCAACATCTGTCTCCCTTCCATCCCCTTTAGAGACCTGCACCTTAAACAAGCCCACGCAAAGAACAAAGGAAATGGAAATCTGCCCGCATAGGGTTTAAATAGACTGGAAAACCCCAAGGGTCTAGGTGATATGGTTAGGTAAGTGTGAAGGTCTGTTTAGCTACTGATAACTAGCAAAGGGTGGTTTGATGCTAGGTAGACCTACATAGCCTAGAAAATAGCAGTGGTTTGGGTAAAATGCTAAACATTCAGCTAAAAGAAACCGTGAAAGAAAGAAAACTCAATGAAAGACAAGATTACTGAGTGCCCTTCATTGCAGAAAAACAAGAATTCTAGGCAGAAAGTCAGCAAGGCACGGTTTTTCTGAAAAAATGAAACACATATGTGTTCCCATTTTGCTGAGTTTCTTGAACTATATTCCTACCTGGATCTCTCTCCCTCTCTTCATCCCCCCCACCTTCACTGACAGGGTCCTGCTCTATAACACTCCCACACACAACTCACTATGTAACTCAGGCTGGCCTTGAACTAACTCAGAGATCTGCCTTCCTCTGATTCTTAAGTGTTGGGATTGAAGGTGTGCGCCACCAAGCCTGCCTGGCTTTTGTTTGTTTGTTTGTTTGGTGTGTGTGTGTGTGTGTGTGTGAGAGAGAGAGAGAGAGAGAGAGAGAGAGAGAGAGAGAGAGAGAGATTTCTTATATTGAGCCATGAATATACGTGTGTCCCCTCCTGAAGTGCTCAGTGTCATCAAGTCATTCCCAGCACTCAGCTTCCATCACACTTGTTCTCTCTCCTGTAGAATCCAGCTTCTTCTAGAAGCCCTTCCTTTCTGTTCAGTTCTTTACACGCTGAGGGCTTCCTTAGTGTATCAGCTGGCTTGACTAAAGAGAATGAGCTTAGAGTGATCAACCAATCCAAGATCCTACTCATCGCTTAGAGAGGAAGAAATGAAAGCCGGTTGTTTTCATTTTACTCAACAATCCTTTGTTGTCTGATGTCTAAAATAGGTAAGAAGTATTAAAAAAAATCAGACATAGGTGAAACTTGCTGCCAATGTGGAGAATTATTTGCTTTGTACTTTATTTTTTATTGTGTGCTCATGTGTGTGCAGTCGAGTGCACAGGCGTGGGGGTCAGAGGAGGACTGCAGGAGCCAGTGCTCTCCTTCTGCCGTGTGCATCCAGGGCTCAAACCCAGTCATGAGGTGGGGGCAGGTGCTTTCACCTACTGAGGCATCACCCTATTGAATTTTTCCATTAAAAACTTAGGGTGATACTTTCTTAAAGATGTTAACATGATTTGAAATCCATGTCATAACCATTTTGCTGATTTTGAAATATTCTTCCAAATGTGATTTTTTTTTTACAAGGTATACATAGTTATAGGACTTGGGTGCACCTTAACTACTTTGCTGTAACCCTATGACAAACTTTCTTACCTTGTTTCTGACTGTTGTAATGTTGTACTAAACTTCCTCAGATTTAAGTTTTTGTTAGCATCTCTCATTGCTAGATAGAGAATTTCAGAGTACAGGGGTACAGATGTATTTTAATGCTCATGAACACTTGCTGAGCTTATTTTGTGGGAAGGTTTGGAGAAGAGCAGGTGAGAGCAGCCATTTGAATATGCAGGTCTGCCCTGTCCTCCCTGGTGTGAGTCCCCCAGTATCCTGCCTACTGTTGTTAGTTTTGGAAGCCCTCCCTCTCCCTCTGAGGAGTCATTGCTTTTTCTCTGTTGAAAGGTTTCCTGATGAACTCAGATGCTTGTCCAAGTATCCATGGTCCCCCTCTAGGCCTCTTCCTTATCATCAAACTCCCTGCTGGAATGATGCAAAATGCTTTCTCACCAGACTTTGAACCCCTGGAGGGCACAGACAAGAGTCCATGGCATCCCTAACTCTTACCCATGCTCACAGCTAAATGCTCAGAAAATCCTCTAGAAGAAAGAGTTTGCATTCTTACTTTCAAACATTCTTTCAGGGCTGGCCTTTCTCATGTTTACTAACAGTGGTGAGATCTTATAAAAGGTTCCAGTAAGTATTTGTGAATAGAATGTCCCAGAAAAGCAAGTGCTGTGGAGCAGAAAGGTTGGGCCCACATTTATCCGCCATGATCCCTTATTTAGATCCCATGATCCCTGGATATTGCTTGGGGCTACTTTTATAGAATTAATGCTCTTGACACAAATTAGGTATGTAGGAAGCACTGAGAGAAATGTTTTATGTTCAGCTCTCTTGAAAGGAAGAACCCAGTTAGTGACATGAGGTGAATTTTGGACTTATGTAGAGACTCTCATTCCATTGACCTAACTATCATGCCCTATGCAATTGCTAAGCAAGAATTCAGTAGCAAAAATAACTACTAAAGACATCTTTAAAATTCTGTTCCTGGTTTGTGATCTGTGTGTGTGTGTCTCTTATACACACACACACACACACACACACACACACCCTCATCCAAGGCATTTGGTCTGCAAAGAAAGCCTGTAGTATTTACACATTTGCAGATTCTGTGATTTGTTTCTTGCAGGAGAATCTGCACTGCAAGCAGCTGTGAGTTGATTGCTCTCTCAGAGCTGTTCCATTCCTGTGATGTTCCCATCCCCACCCTGTGCCCAAGAGCAGTACAACTGTGAGGAGCAGAAACAGAGTCACCTATAGAAAGGCCAGGGCTTAGTCACATTGTATCCCCTCAATCATCCACCAACACAACCACTGTTATGAATATCTGCTAAGGTATGGATCCTCCTAGCCTTCCCCTAACCTGCCACACTGGGTTTTCTACCCCATTGTAAGGCTGATTACAAGTGAAAACCACACAAATATGGTGTCAGTTTGTTTTGCTGCCCAATGCCATTTGATTCCATGTTTTTTAAAAAGCGATTTTTTTAACTTTTCTTATTCAAGAATTTCTTGTACCAGAAATATCAGATTTTTTTTTAGACTTTGTGAGGTCCAGTCATGCTGGGCTTCCTTCCTTACACCCCAATGTTCTGCTGAGCTGCACCACTGTCTGATGCAGTCTCTGCCATGCATTATTGATTACTTGTTTTGCTGTTTTATTTGTATTATTTTCCCAACCTTTGTAGAATTGCCACCTATATAAATTTTCTCCAGCATCTAAATGATTCTTTTATTTTTACACTTAACTTTATTCTATACTGTGGATTAAGAGTAAATGTTATCTCCCAGCTCCAGCAAAAGTCGAGAAAAGGGGTCATATGTATGGCAATGTGACATATCCTGATGAGTGTGTGTGTGGTCTGCCTGCCTGTGTCCTCCCCCCCACACACAAGGGAAGGACAATTGTGTAACAACAGCCACTATTGTTTAGCCATCAACCCCACTCCTTACCCTAATGCGGCTTCCATTTCCCTTTTAATTGTTGCTTTAGAATAAGGAGACCACAGGAGATGGACATGGAAGTAATGACAGAGCAAAAAACCACAGAGGGCAGAACTGG